TGGTCGCCTTTGGTAAACCTGTGATCGATGCACCCGCTGCCCCCGTCCTATTTATGCAAATCAGCTCAACAGGTGACACGAAGGCTCTCTGGACTGCTGCATGTGTGTGTTTTCAAAGTGAAACATCCACAGTTTACCTTTACAAACGAATGATTGTCTTCATGTGCAACTTTCGGTGAAGTCTGGATAAAAGCATGTCGGGCCACACAGGTGCTCTGAATCCTAACGTCACCGAGCTGCTCACAGTGACAGAAACATGCTGCTGACTGTGTCTTAGTTCAGTCTATCAGCATGTTTGCTTATTAGCGAAATGAAAAGTGCATTCATGCCATTAGTTTTGCAGCCATTTGGTTATAAACCAGAACACGAGACAAACTCAGCTCCTGTCATTAATGAAGGGACTCGATAAAAACTCAGGAGCAAACCGTCGACAGACTTTTTTCTCACCAATGTTGGAACCGAATTTCGTGACAATCCATCCAAAGTTGTTGACGTTTATCAGTCAAAAGCAGAAATGTCAACTTTATGGCGCCACTACGGGAAAAGTCAAGGAACCACGAATGTCTTAACAAAACACCAAAGTCATGGAACAGCAACTCTAGTCGTCGACAAAACTGGAGTAGTCTCAGATTATTTTTCTGTCAAAGCCTGAAATCCAGTTTCATCCTAAAACACATTCTTTGACTCACTATGAAAGAAAAACTGAGCAGAATTCTAACATCACCGTGTATAAATGTACTAAATAGTTTATTAAATCTGATTCCATACGTCTACGGCTCTTATTTGAACGACACGCCCACACCACACGTCTCCTTCACCAAATGATTGATCTCCAGCACAAAGCCTGAGAGCCAAAATGAAACCTCAGACCCCAAATCTGTGACCCTCTCGTCGTCACGCTCAGAGGTTTTTGATTTACTACAGTCCAGCTCCCAGGTGAGCTCCCCCCGCCCCCGTTCACCAGTCGGCCCCGTGCCGCCTGTCTCGCCGCCTGCGTGGAGATTGATGGCTGCGAGTGCCAAACCTAGCAGTGGGCTGCATAGCCTTGAGGTTTGCCGTCTAATTAGGCTCTAATGTAACTACAATGCTCTGGAGGAGATGTTGTCTCGCCCACCAAAGCTCTTTAAAAGCCTCCCCGGGGCAGCGTGGAGGGAGGCAGCAGGCCGCGGCCACGTCCAGGCGACAGGCTTCATTCCCCTGCTCGGATGTACTCGAAGTGTAACTACAGCTCTGGTGAGACTGACGTCTTCATTACAGCCGGTTTAACGTGCATGTGTACGAACTGAAGCGTCACATGTCAGAGCAGCTACCGTGAACTAAAGAGGTCATCGTTCTGTTTTAAATGATTAAACACGTATCACACTTCCATATCCGAGTATTAAAAAAACTTCAAGACAAATGCACATCTTTCAGCAGCACAAACTGTCCAACGCCTCCTAAAAACAGACAGTTTGACCACTTATCCAGTGGAATAGAGCTGCAGAGCATCAGGACCGGGTGTTAACACGGTTTTATTATATTCTATGAAAGCAGACGTGATGATTTATTATGAAATGATACACCTGCAGCGGGGCCTCCGTCGTGAAATCGCTTAGCGGTTTTAGATCGCCGCCCACGTGCTGATGCACCGCCTGCTCGATGACACATTCAGAGGTAGACGGTAACTTCATACACTTGTGTGATTTCATGCATTTGTTTTCTGCTGCTGTTCTTTTGACTCCACGTTTATTTGCTGGCTTCAGTCTTAAGTTACTTTGCAGAACAATATCGGGAAATATATCCATCAAATAAACATGTTGTACTGTTATAGGTTAAAATAAGACTTTATAGGGGAGTAATTAGCTGAAGTGTAGTATAGTTAAAATTGACCTCGTCTTTACCAGTTGCCGCATTTAAGTGATGTGTGTAGCATGAATCATTTGCAATTATTATCCACTAATTTAATGTATGTTGCTCTAATGGGCCACTCTGCATGACGAGTGCTCCTCTGGTGCAGGTGTTCTGGTCTGTTCTCAGATGTATTCACAGCCACCCATTAAAGAAGGAAAAAAACAGCTGTCATGGAAATAAGAGGAAATTGACAAAAGTAATAATAAATAAAAAATTTATAAAAACCATGACATTGCTTTGAATTGTGGTTCAACAGAAATACTAAAAAAGAAAGAAAAACAGGCATGATGCGACCCATAAACTACTATCTAGTTGAATCAGGTGTTTTCTGTAACTCTGTCAGACTTTTGCATCTGTTGACAGCTATTCTGGCTATTTGTCCGGGACAGTTTTATTTTTTATAATTATTCTTTTCAACCACAATTCAAAAGCAACGTCTCATTTCACTAAATTATAATTTAGCAAATTTTTATTTATTATTACTTTTTCCAGTTTCTAGTTATTTGAGTGACTGCTGTGAGTTTTGCCTTTTCTTTAATGGAAGTGTGTGAATACATTTGAGGACGTCTGTATATGCTGATATTGTAATATTATTGTTGAATGAAAGACTTTAACCTCACTGATTAAACCACCTGTACATCTTCCACTGCTCACACTCACCACTGAACGTTCTGCCAACGTTTTAACACCATTTCAGTAAAACCATGTAATCGTTTGATGTTAGCAGACGTCCCCCTCTAGTCTATTAACACTGATGGTTTATTATAAAGTGAGGAAGTTAAATGACTGTTTAATGTGTAAAGCTTACAAGGTGCTGCTTCCAGCCAAGTTTGTTGCCACTAAATAAAATAACCCTGTATTGTCTTTTTTAACACTGAGGTTGTTGCACAGTTTATATTTATGGACATAAACCTTTAACCAATGAGCTGCTGGTTGTAGCTTCATATTGTTGGACAACGATTAGGCATCACTGCACTGCAGCCCTTTGACAAAGGGGGGTTGAGTTTATCTGAAAATACAACATGCTGAAGGAGGATTTGTCCCAATTCTCCAAAATCTACATTTTCAAGGCTTCCTACTTCTCCAGATGTATAAATGAAGTTCTGTCAGAAGGTGGCACCCACAGATCTACAGCCCTTTAAAACAGAAATATTAATCCTGTTTTCTCATTAAATATTTCTGCACACTTTCACGTTTATTCCTTGAAATGACACATTCACAGTTCAGGGAAGATGAAACTGCATTACAGCCGCCTGTCACTGCGTCTCTGCTCTGCAGTCGGCAGCAATGAAACAAAAGACAAATCAGAATAGAGAGCACTGTCAATATTTTCCTGATGCGTCATGTGATTTCCCCCCCATTTCCCCACAGCTCACCAAAGACGGTATCATCAGCTTGATATAATATTAGAAACCGGTCTTGAAAGATAAGGTGTCTGGCTGAAGGTCATCCGCGCCCTCCTGAGTGAATCTAAGAGGCCTTTGTGGTTGGGTTAAATGCACCTGACAGGCTGTTGGAGCACAATCACCCATTTTAATTGTCATGTAACGGTTTCATGTAGAGCCAAACTGTCTGCAACACTTCAGCGGTTGGAAACCAGAGCCTGGCCACACAACCACAGATGTGGTTATCTGGATGTTCGCTAAAACAGGAGGGGAGGGAAAAAAAAAACACACCCAGGAGAGAGCTGTGTGGAGGCCGGGACAGAGGAAGATGTTTAAAGATAAAGCAACAGACTTATCTGCAGCAATTTGTTAAATCACAGAGCTTAACAAATCCTTTAAGGTGTCGAATAAAAGCGGAACACATTTAGAACTCTTTGGAAAGTGTGTTTTAAGGTTGGACGAATACTAATTGCTTTAACGACAAACTGGCTGCTGGTTTACTGGCCCAATGCGGAGAAGACAACAGGTTTAACGCACACTCAAAGAATTCAATTTAGCAGAAGCAAAGCGATGGCAGGAAACAATCCGCATAGCCCCACCGACGACAAGCCCCCGGCCGTCCTCCGTCTGCTCGGCGGGCAGTAATTACAGAACGAATGCCGTTTCATATGAAGCTGCAGTCATAATCCAACGTCAAAGGCAGACTCATTATCGACAATCACGAGAATTAGTTACATCATTTCACCAAAGCGAGCTAATCATTTCCAGGATACCGCACAAGCAGATAGAGCCATTAGAAAAAGGAAAAAAATTGGAGCTCCTAAATAGAATAATTGACATCTATATATCTTCTCCGATGCTTTGGCTGAAGGGCTTCGGAAAATCGCATTAGTCGTCATTGAAAATGTGAACCGAGGGGAAAAAGACACCACTTAGACTTCACATATTGCTGAACACTGCATTAAAAAAAAGGGTCTGTGTTGCGTCTGTCACCAGAGTATCAGCTCGCAAAAACGGGAGCAGATAAATTCAATAATAATGAATTTCTAAAAAAAAATCGTGAGGCCAGTGAAACATCTCGTCATCCTTCATCTTCTACATTAATCATATGACGAGTTCATTTGCAGAAACGGATCAATCACATCCTCACAAACCTTCAGAAAACACACTTCTCCATCGTCTACCTGAGACGAGACCAATCAAACTTCTCTATTGTTGTCATTTCTACTGAGTCGAATCCACTCAGCTTCAGTTTGATATTATCTCAAGCAAACAACAAAAATGGAGTTACCGGTTTCTGCCAATAAACTCTTCACATGTTTATGTATTCAACAAGATGAAACCTGAATTTACTACCCAGGGTGCTCGCAATTCAAAGATCATTAAACATACGAGAAATCTTGAAACGTGATATTTTAAACTTGAGAATGAACCTTTTGTGTGCCCAATGCAGCCGGGTCATCAAGTTTAGTGGTTCTCTTCCCACTTTCCACCAGTCGTAAAGCAGGATCTAGTGGAAGGCCGCGGACCTCTGATGTCTATCAGCACAGGTCAGCGTGCAGGGGGCAAGTGGAGCCCTCAGCAAGACGAGTGGATCATCACTTTCCCTCAACACGTCGTCAGCAGAACAACCTCTGCTGCCCCGACACATTCCCCGCATTTCTCAGGAGTTCTTTCAAGCAGGTAGGACTTCATGATCAAAACTTGAGATTGTTTTTTGTTTTGTTTTTTATTCCACATCAAGTATCAAACAGTCAGTATTAAAAGTTTGATCCAACAGTTTAAACAGACTCTAAAATAAACAAGAAAAAGAGTCAAAAAAAGGTGTATAGAAAGTTTTTAGTCAAGAAAGCACAAAAAAAAAGACAACACTTGAAACAATGAAATATTCAACATGAGCCAGAAAAAGAGAGGAAACGTTACTTACAAAGAAAAACTGGCGTACTGGAATGGAAAGAAATGACAGGAAGCAATATGGTTATGGTACACTGGATGCCAGCAGATAAACCCAATGTGATAAAGGCCTCATACGCAGAAGGAACAATTCCACGTTGCACTTAGGTTGACCTGCAAACCAAAAACGTGAGGAGAGATTCAATCAAACTTGAGCAATCACCGAGCGGATGCACAGAGACAAGCAACATCCCATCCACGGACGGCAGTTTCATCCGAGATTCGACACAGTTTAAGCAAAACCCATCTACGCTTTGAGACAAAAAATCAGCCAATATGGAGCAAATTAAACATTTTAAAGTGATGAAATAAGGATGCTGCTGCTCTCTGGGTTTCATAAAGCTGCTTCTTCCTTCACTGAAAGATTTGAACTCAGGTTTAAGTGTTGTAGATTTCTTCCTATTCTTTTATTTCGACATTACAGGAACAAACATCTGCGAAAATAGATGTCTGTAAAGGTAATTTATCCCCAAAAATAAATAAATCACTATTGTATGACAGCACTTTTCCTTTATTTTCCCAACAAAACATTTTTGGAAACACTAATCAATCCCAACCAATTTAACCAAAGGCAGGGGGAACACAAACCAGGTTTTCTGGTGTATTTACATGCAAATCAAAGTACTTCCACTTCTTACTGCTGGAGTTGTTCATTTCTTAGCACACACACTGCGTACAAGCGTTCATATTCATGCGGCGAGGGTGTCATTACAGTCGCTTTTTTAGGCATTTCAGTCAATTCTTTCCTCATTAAAAGACAAAAAGAACCCCAAAGCCCCACTTTCACTCAGTGATTTATCAATGCCGCCTGTCGTTCAAACGGCAGCCGCTGAACACCTGACGCAAAACAACAAAAATAAGTTACAGTAAACAGCTTTTAATTAAGATTACAGTTGAATAAAATTAAAATTGACTGACCCATTTTGATTAAAAAAAAATAAGTATTCCTTTGTCTCAGCTTTTTAAATGTGACGGTTTGTTAGATTTCCTCGTCTCACATGACAGTGAACCTAAAATATTTTGGTTTCAGACCAAACAAGCAACCCGAGGATGCTGCTTCACAAATATTTGACATTTTATAGAATAACCAGAAATGAAAATAAAAAACTGCATTTCGACAAACAGTGAGTGAACACAATATGTTTTTGGTCAATTACACATTTTTTTTTGTTCCTTGGGGCTTCACACTGTGTATTGGAGGCTACATGAACATTTTCAGCTTTAAAGTGTTGGTTTGAGCTCACATGTGGCTTAGAGTTTCCATTTAAACAAAGACATCCGTATACATTATTAGTGAAGAGATGGAAGTGATGAGAGGTCATAGTTAAAAAGCAAAATCTACCAGAGATATCAAACGTAGTCAAGGAGAGTCAAGGATAACAGTTGGGTAACAGGTTTGCAAAGGAAACCTAGCAAACATCTAACAACCAGGGAATGTGGTGCTGTGTTAGACCAAAAACCCAGCGCACGGTAAAGAAAAAAACCTTAATGACTACACAGGAATGCACCTCATCCTGTGGGCATACAGGTTTTCACAAAATAACATCATGACCACCTGAAAACAGTCCCCACAAACCCCCCGATACCCCTCAAAGACGGAAAGGCCAAACCAGTAGAGCTCTGGAACAATTAACAAATGTCAAACCAGAGCGAGTGCTGAGACAAAAAAGGAAGGCCCAAGGAACACCACCTCGTCTGTCAGACACGGTGGTCGTCTTATCGTATGGGAACGTGTAGCTGTCAGCTGTTTACTGATGAGTTCGCCGCTGATGGAATTAAAAGGAAGTAAACGGGAGAATTTCGTGTGCAAAGTCAGCCAACTGGTCTCAATCAGACTGAGCTGAAAACCGGCAGAATGTAGCCTTCATTACTTTATTCCAAATTAAATGTACTGAAGCACAAAAGGCTCAGGAATGAAAAAATGTGTAACTGTCAACCGGGATACAAGCCATTTCAACACCACTACAAATTGCCTAAAAAAAAAAAAAAAATACCACCTGCCTGCCTTGGTTTCAACAAAAATTTGAAGTTTCTGGTTTCACAGAGGTAGTATTCATTACAGGCCTACTGTAGTGAAATGCATCACATTCTACAGCAGCTTTCTGTTTGTCTGGTCAGTGACACAGCCACAGATACACAAACTGGAGGGGGAGTGGGGGGAGATTTCAAGTTCTCATCTGTCTATCTTTCAGCTGTCGGATATTGAAAAGTGGATGGACAGAGATACAGATCAGCATATGCTGCAGCTGGACCTGCTCCTTGTAAACAGACCTGCTCACAGATTCAGGAGGTAGCAACCTGCCATACTATGTTACTGTGTTAGTATGGGCGCCACGGCGGGGGAGGGGGGGAGGGAGGGAGGGAGGACTCACTTGGGCTTTGTCTCAGCATCTGTGACTTGGCGGATGAATATGGCGTCCTCTGGATGGCCGATGTCTCCTTTCTCGTGCATGTAGGAGGAGGCGATGGCGAGCATGGTGCCGTCGTTGTTGAAGGCCAGTGATGCGATGCTGGTCGGGTACCGGTGGAACTGACACAGTCGCTTCTTGTTGAACGGGTCCCAGATGTTCACAAAGCCGTCCGAGCCACCTGGCAAAAGGAGAGGCTCAAGGTCAACCTCAGAAGTTGTGCTACTGTCAAGATACGGATCGTTATTAGCCGAGTTCCACGAGCAGCCCTGGCAGCTCAATGATAAAAAGGTCACAGCAAAATGTAAGAGGAGCACAAAAGGAACAAAAGGACACAAATATTTGCTTTTGTCAAGTAAGAACTAGCCGATCGTACCTGTGGCAAAGGTGTTATGAACACTGTGAAACGAGATGGCATTGACAGGGTAAACCTGCTCAATTCCATCCTCCTTCAGCCTGTGGCACTTGAAGGCATACTTCTTCTTCTGAACCTCCTGGCTTGGGTCCAGGTACTCCACAGCTACACGGCCCTCGATTGAACTCAAAACGTAGCCCTGAAGCGTAGACAGAAAATATGAGGTTACCGTCTGAGTTCTTCACATCAAGAACGTGTACCAGTAATGTGATTCTCCATAAGAGCAAAATCATTAGTTAAAGTTTTTAACGAGGTCTTTATGTTTTATTGTAGCTGCGTACGTTTTCATTGATCCTAATTTAAAGTGTACCTGCTTGTTGGGGAACGCTCGAATGCAGCGAGTCTGATACTTGAGACTGGACTCTCTCCTTTGCTGCACATAGCCCATGTTCCTCAAATCCCACACCAGGACTCGTCTTCCAGCTGTACCAACGATCAGACGATCTCCAGCCACTGAGAGCGTGTACACCTTTCACAAACACAATAAGTGTGAGACCAGAGAAAGACACACCACTGGCATTGCCAAAAGTATCTGATAAATACACATCAATGATTACACAGACACACGTCACAAACCAACAATAAAATAACACCATCTTTATCAGGGTAAAACACTACATTTACAGTCTTCATTTTCTTACATATATGATTTAAATCAGATGCTTTCTGATTAGCATCTCTACAATCAACTTCATTATTACATTACTGTAGTGGGTACAAAAATAAAATTAGCACACAAAGTATTTCTCTAGTCTCAACTAAGGTCTTATCAATGTATTATTGTAAATGAGTACTGAACATTCTCTAAAAATGTGATGTCATTGTGACTCAAATTAGCAGCTCTAAAGAGGTTCAGATATGAAACCTGCAACGAAAACATGCAGAGAAACGAGCAGGGGTTCGGCTGTATAAAAATCAACCACACAATCCTGCACATTTATGATACACGTTATACTCAGGTGGAAAGAATTTAGGTGATTCTGACCCGTCAAAATAATTTAAATCATTCATGACACAATCTAAGCTTTACTAGCATTGTTATTGTTATGTTATGTTATTGTTTAATATGCCTCCACCGCTCTACCTTTTCAGGCTGAGTAAAGGTGCCAGCGTTGCAGGGTGTCCGCGGGTCCCACAGCCGAACCGATCTGTCCCAGCTACCCGTTACCATGACGTTAACTTCTGGGCAGTACTCCACACAGCGAATGGGGGCATCATGTGTTCCAACTATTGTATCTGTGTAGAGAGAGTATTACACAAACGGATGTAAATAAACAAAACAAACACATTCAATTTGTAGTTATAGAGATTTATGACAGGTTTAATCGATTGAATCCATCACTCAGAGGCTCGAGGCATACCTTGGTCTGTGTTTAAATCATGAGTTTTTAACTGCGCATCTAAACCTCCACTCCAAGAATGTGTTGGGTCCTGCAGATAAAAGGTGACATTATCTATATGAACCACAACTCCAGGCTATGACACAACAATGAGGAACCTAAGCAAGAAATCTGTGACCTACATAAAAAGCACAGTCAAGAACCGGAGCCGTGTGCTGGTACTTCATCCGCATGGTGTTGCCCACGACATCGTAGAGACGGACGGTGCAGTCCCAGGAGGAGACCAGGAGGAACTGGGCTGTGCTGGGGCTGAACTTGACAGCAGAGATGCCGTCCTCTGGTCCCTGGTTCAGCTTGTACTCGTTTGAGCCCGTCATCTGCAGAACAGGAAAATAATCAATAAATCTAAACTTGAAATTTAATGATTCTCCAAGATTATTTTGGCGAAACCTAAATGATGCACATTAACCAGAACCCATTAATGACATTCAACATGGAGTATAAAGAACACAGGCTGTGGATATTGTCTTTATGAGACCTTTATTATTATTCTATTTTTATTTTTTAAAGCCTTATTATACTTTTGTGATTCTTGTCCTGCTTCTTTTATACATAATCTGTATCCAGCTGCTGTAACATGTACATGACAAACTAAAGCTTTTTTTGTACCTATTACAGACTTGACTTGGCACAACTCAGACTGTCTAAATGTTTATTTCATTCATTTATCTCTTTAAAGATGCTTTACAGATGTTGTCTAGAGCTACCTGACTTTGTACACATAGATATTTGAAGCAGATGAGATGAAGCCACAGCACTCATTTAAAAGACAAACCGTGTTAAACTCAAGGTGATAAGATATAAAAGACTTTTGACGACTACCTATAACTGATCAGCAGCTTTGGCATTTACAAGCTAAACTTACAGCACTTGAAAATGTGTGATTTGAAACCCAGACGTTGACTGTTGTGGATAATAAGCATCTCGTAGAGATTTTGATGAGAAAAAATACAATCCATGACTCTCTCGCATATTTGATCGCGTAACAGAGCTAAATAAAAAATACATCTTCATCGAAATGAGTCATAAAGCTTGCGATTTAGACATTTATTTATTTAGAAACAGTTCCTAATTTACAGTTTACAGAAAGTGACCAGGAGTAACCCCTACCAGGCTGGTGGATTACTGGCTGTCCTTTCTGTCAGCCCACTGACAGACGGGAGCTACATGCTTAGCTAACTAGCACACTTAGCTACTTAGCTTGCTATCTTTTGAGCGATATAACGTATTTTTCTGCTGCGAAAGTCGGTGTAACAATGACTTTACATCGGTGGATTTACGATTGCATTAATTCTTATTTCACACCGAGCACACGCTTTTCCGTTAAATCCAGCAGTTAGCCCACCGCCACCGCCACCGGTGTTTGCTAACGCTAGCTTGGAACGGTTAAGACAGCGGCTACAAGCCGCGCCGTTAGCCGTTTCACTTCACTTACCGCTTCAGTTTGGTGCTGCAGAGACGCGAACCAGTCTTTTATTTGACGAGATCAGTGATTATTCCTTAGCTTACGAGAAAATATAAAAGAATATATAACGGGGGGAAATGCTAGAAAGCCAGGTGGCTGCGCGAAGCTAGCTCCGTTGTAAGCCCTGTCGATGCTCAGCAAGGCGCTGATTGGCTGAAACAAATATTCAAGTTCGCGCCTGCAATGTTATTGGTTGGTTTCATCTCGACGGACACTTCCGTTGTCTGCGCACAGATCACATGACGCAGGTCTGCTCGCCGTCGCTCTCTACAGTCTCTCCGGCTGGTACGTTGGATGTAAGCTTTTTTTTTTTTTTTTTTTTTTTTTTATATGAGTAATCACATATATTTAATTTAAGACAGATACAATACAGGTATAATAAAACACTCCCACGTACAGTCAATATGCACAGAATGCACAGTGAAAGCAATAACCTATTGTGTGCTTTGGGGTAACCAGGTGATGTCTATCATAGAAACAGCAAAATTATTTATTTTTTTTATCAAGTGAACTGGCTGAGTTACTATTATATCCACCACTTTATTGTTATATAGCTTCACTTCATATTTCAGGAGAACTTTGCTCCAATACAATCTCTTATAGCCTGAGCCAACAGGTCAAATGTGGTAGCTTTGGTCTATTTTAATCCTTTTCTCAAACGCCAGCCAAAAAGAATAATTATTCAACCCTCTAAACCTAATATTAATATGGTTAAATTTATAAAAAATTAACAAGACTGGCTCCTCGACTAATTAATCATTCAAAATTGCCTTGTAATTGTGGCCATCTTATTCCAGCATTTGTGGAAGACAGTCTATTGTTTTTAATTTTTAGACTATTTTACATTGCTGTCTGCACAATTAGAATATTGTTTTTTTTAAATAAGAGCCTACAAGATCAAAGTGTAAATAAAACCTAAACACTTTAATATTGCTGTTTGAAATTAGGCTTTACCCTTTTTTTTTTTTTTTTTGTCTAAGTCATCAATCTTAAAAGGATGGCCATGACCAGCTCAGGATCAAATTCTGATCCCAGTTTTATCTTCGAGATGATTGCAGGGGGAAAAAATGATCTTTTTGTCCTCACACATGTTTTAAACTCTGAAACATGGCTTAAAGAAACCTTTGGTTTTAGACGTGCATCACACTTACATTAAGGATAAATGCATTTCTTTTTGGAACGAATCTTTACTGAGTGTAAGACCATAGAATATACAGAATTTCAATAACAATATCAGAAGAAAACCATACACAAAAACAGAGGCTATTTTTGGCTCTTTCATGGCTTTAAAATAACTGCCAAACATTGCGTCATAATAAAAACAGTTGCCTGTATTACCTGCAGTTTGTAGGATATTTTTTTCTAAGGATCACATGATTGTCCTCACTATTACAAAGAGAAAAGAAAAAAAAAGAGGATATTTTGTTTTCTTTCAGACTGAGCTATAGGTGACAAAGGCTGGTAGCCTAATGTGAAGCCAACAGTATTGCACAAAAATATCAAAATATTCAATTCCACATTTTTAGCTACAAACACTGACACAAGTCTCTGTAAAATACATATAGACAGCAAACCCTGTTCAAAACAAGCTTCCTTCCCCCCCAACTGAATACAGTAAAATATATGCACCCATTTTTTGAGCTTCACCAGTAACAATAATAATAATAATAATAATAATAAT